GGGATGGTGATTTTATCAAGGTACTTTCTTAAACTACCAGATCACAAGATGAAAGATGCTTGGCTGCTTGGTAAGGATGGAATTGAAACAAAGATGCTTTTCTTTTTTCAAAGATTATGCCCATTATTGGTGGGGTTCCTGCTTCACTGTGTCTGAATAACTATTACCAGTGATTAGAACTAGGGCTCTTCCACTGCAGTGTGCTGACATCTCACGGACACATTCTTATTCTGAGTCTCGTCTTTTGCTAAAATCTTTGCACATTGCTGCCCCAATCCACACTTTCCTTCTTTGATTGCAATATTACATGGGATACAACCCATGGCCTTGACCCAGGAAGTTTAATAGCAGAGGTATGACTCCTACAGAGTGAGTGTTAACACAGCACATTGGATAAAACCCAGTCCCTTAATTAGAGAACATGGTGTACATTACCACGCAGGTCACCGCGGGCCAGAACACAATTGTGACTGGGCCCTAGCAGAGCAGAGGGAGAGACCGAGATGCTGGGTGTGAAGCTGGGGAACACACAGAGGCTTTGTCCGAGTGGCTGTCAGCTCAGTTGGTATCACATTCCTCTGTTTACCATTGAAAGTTGGGGCTGCATAGCTAAAAATTTCTAAGGCTATGGTCAAAATCTTGGATAAGACAGATTCACACTGCAAATGAGGATTGAAGAGCAAAGGAGGAACTTTTTAGGTTTATTTCTCTTAGATTTGATCAATCAACTAATTATTATTTACCTTCTAATAATTAAATGATCTACAGTTATTTATAAAATAAAACAGTACTTTTTCATGTTTATATAGGAAAAATAGCATTGTTGCAACTAAAAAATCTATGGCCTTCCTTTTAGCTTTTTAATTAAAAACACCAACTTTTACAATATATATTTTGATATATACTTTTGTTAAGTAAACAGTAATTGTCTAATTGTGGATATGACTTTATGTGGGAGATGTTTTTATCTTACCAATGACATATATATTTCCTTTCTTAAGGTAATTTTCCTCTGTAAATAATTCACTCATTTTATACTATTTTTTAATAACCTCCCTAACAAAATGTTTGCAATTCCCAGTGACCCTTTTTATGGTTGACTTTCTCTATGTGTCAATATAAAATAGTATTGTGAGGTTCACCATCTGTAGCTCAGTGGCCAGGGCGCCAGCCACATACCCCGGAGCTGGAGAGTTCAAATCCAGCCCGGGCCTGACAAATAACAATGACAACTGCAACAAAAAAAATAGCCAGGCATTGTGGTGGTGTGGTGGGTGCCTGTAGTCCCAGCTACTTGGGAGGCTGAGGCAAGAGAATCACTTAAGCCCAAGAGTTTGAGGTTGCTGTGAGCTGTGATGCCA